CAATAAACAAAACAATATGTTTCGTTTCTAGATATTTATTAGTAACGGGTAGGGGCGGTTGTTTCGTAACAACCACATTAATTAGCTGCCTCCAGACCTACTCCGGGGGCGGGGGGGGGAGGCGAAAGACCCCACCACTACCACCAATATTTCGCTCGGCTATTAACATTTATTTTTTCCCATTTCTATGTTGATGGACACTCATTATATGATTGCTTTTGTAACACTGTGCATACATGCGGAAATATCATTTCCATACTTATCAGAGGAAATTTACTAGAAATGTTTATTTGATAATAAAGAAACCATTACATATTTCGAAAATTTTGCTCTCGTCTCTGGCCACTAAAGTTACACATGAAATAAGTTTCACTTTGGACCAAAAAGCCCCCCCCCCCACTTGGTGATCCTAACATTGGAAAGTCTTAATAAACATATGTTATAAGAGAAACATGAAAAAGTAACAGTATATATACATATATTTCTTTTACAAAAAGGGGGGGGTTAAAAGAATATATTGCCGTATGATTAAATATATAAATATTATTCTCAACATACTATCAAGTCCATCTCCGTTTCACGAAAGTCCTATTTAGTACAAAAACCAGTTTTACCTTTCTCAATACAAGAAATACATTACCTAAACGGCTCAGAAGTTTTATCGCTTTATGATACCGGCATGGTGGTTAGGGTGCTCGACTCGCAACTTACAGGTGGCAGGATCGAGCCCCGTCACCGAACATGCTCGCCCTTTCAGCCGTGATGGCGATATAATTACGATTAATCTCACTGTTCGCTGGTAAAGAGTAGGTCAAGAGCTGATGTCGAATGGTGCTCTAGTCTAATACACTTTAGAATTAGGGACTGCTAGCGCAGAAGGCTTTGCACGAAATTCAATAAAAACAATCTCATAATACCTTACAATAAGCATGTTTTCAATTAAGCTTGAATTAGCTCATGGAATGTAAAATTAAGATATTAAATAACTTACTTGGTAATCTGTAGAAAATTAATTGTTAGAACCTTTTAACGTTATTACTTGTGTTAAGCAAATTTCATTAAGCTCAAATTTGTGCAAAGAAAATTAATCACAGATTCCAACTGCGTAAGTTGGGTGAGTTTTCTGTATTTTTTTTAAACACAATAATTTCGATAACTGTGTTTTATGTGTTCAGAGAACCATATGAGGATATACTCCGTCCAGTATATCAAAACAATATACACTAATACTAAACGATTAAGTCAGCAAGGGCAGATGTAAAAAAGCCTATGGACAAACTCGAGGAGACAGAGGAAAATGATTACATCCAAGTTGTAAGTTGAGCACTTAGTTAGAAATCCTCCTCATTCTGGGAACATATCTATAGCGATTTTGTTCTCTATGGAAAACGCAAAGTATCATGATCGTTTCAGTGATCTAAGTAGAATCATACAAACCTCTGTTAAAAAGTTGATACTTTTATTGCATTAGTAATGAAAAACATTTACCTCAATTTTGGACTAATGTGTTACTAAACTTTTTTTTCACGCAGTAATACAAAGCACGTGACACGTGCAATTATATGAGAGAAATGGAGGTGAGAAAAGAATAAAAACTCGTCATATCTATAAACCACTAAGAAAGAAAAACGTTAACATAATTTATTCAAACGTCCACGATCTAAACGTTCTATAATTTCACGCGAATAAAACAAACGAAAGTGAATAAACGATCTGAAATTTAGGGCTAGCTTCGATGACTAGTAAATACTATTACCGAACTTAAGGCTTACTGTTGTCCTAAAAAAAAAACAAGCCATCTCCTCATTTATATGACGAGCTGTTATCCTTAATCGGGAACAATATGCATAAAACGTTCTTTCTTGAGAAGTGATCTTAGAATTATTTAACGATGTCTGAATGTGGTTGTTCTATCACGCTAGTTGCTTCAACGTCGAGTTTAATTATGACATCAGGTAAACGTGATTCAGCACCTTCAGTGTACTTACACGTACGGCACTATTCTTAATTAAATAAGTGTCATTGGATATAGTCCTCGTAGCGGCCTTGGCATTTAATCCTTCAGATTTGTGATTTTTATTATGGTGTTTTTAAATAAGTATAGTTAATTCCACTTACTAGCTTCTTTTTTTTTTCATCTTTCATTTTTTTCATCATTTGAATAATTTCAGAATATTTTTACTATCACTTACCAAGTGCGTTTGACAGAAATAATTTCAAGCAGGCAATCAATCTGAAGATGTGACTTCTTACCCTTTGTATTCGACTATTTTAAATCAAATTAAGTATTAAGTAATCAAGCTAAACAGAAAAGTACACAAAAGGATATGTGCGTTGGCGGAGAAGAAATAATGAAACAGTGAAGTTCACACGCGTGAAGAAGAAATAAGGAAACAGTGAAGTTCACACGCGTGAAGAAGAAATAAGGAAACAGTGAAGTTCACACGCGTGAAGAAGAAATAAGGAAACAGTGAAGTTCACATGCGTGAAGAAGAAATAAGGAAACAGTGAAGTTCACATGCGTGAAGAAGAAATAAGGAGACAGTGAAGTTCACATGCGTGAAGTAGAAATAAGGAGACAGTGAAGTTCACATGCGTGAAGAAGAAATAAGAAACAGTGAAGTTCACATGCGTGAAGAAGAAATAAGGAGACAGTGAAGTTCACATGCGTGAAGTTGTTGAAGGCATCGTTTAGTGATTAAGACTCGCAGTGTTTAAAAAAAGGACGTGAAAAATATAGGGTACAAATTTACAAGCTCGTGTCAAACTTTACAAAGGGAAAGGTCCAAAGTTTTCCATGGTGCATCACAGCACACACACACATATATATATACATGTATAATAAATCAAGTATAGAACATAATATTTTGTACATATGGTGCGCCTGGCGTATATTTTTAATTGTGTTTTAAAAGATCTCTTAAGATCCACACGATTCAATTTAAGTTTAAAATCTTCTTCCTTGTAAAATTTAGAGAAAATTCATGTATCATTATTGAAAGGAATAACTACATTCGAACTTCTTAATCCAACGTGTGAGTCTTTAGGTTTACAGGTCAGACAAAGGAGTAAGGCCCGTCTGTCAAGGCGCTACAAAACAAGAGTCAGGAATGCTCATCCTTGGGTTCTTCGCCTCTGTTAGGTTTGTACTCCATACCGGGGTCGAACTGGAGAAGCACGTAGACCTACAAAAATAAATCGTCTTGAATCTTCTGTAGACACCCCCCCCCCCCCATGTGACAAGCGGTAAACCATGGCACCGCACACATAACCCATTGAGAAACTTTGAGCTTAACAACAAATAAATAGGCACAACTAAAAACGAACTGCTTCAATAGTTGACCCATTTTTTATAAATAATGATACATTTGTCATTTAATGTAGATTTTATTTCCAAATATCGTTGAGAGTAGATAGCCTTCGATGGCAAACGGTTAATTCTAATTATAATATTTGTGTATGATTATAAAGAAACATATATTACGAAAATGACGCTATGATATATATACATACTGTCAGTGAATATGTGGTAATATATCCTGATGTAGTATTACTCAATTTAATTATTATTAATGAATAAAATAATGAGTGGTAAAGTTCTCATGTACAAGCAAGTTACTTTATATAATTATTTAATAAAAACTTAAAAATATTCCTATGTTTCATTTAAATTAATTGGACGAGCTACCGATTTACTCTAAACATTATTGATAAAAACATTTATATATTTCTGAAGTCGGTCGTATTCACATTATTTTGTTTATTTGTAAATTATTATTATTTTTTTAGGATGCTAGAATATTATCTAGCTTTGTAATTGTAAATATGGCATTCATACAGTCCCATCAGAACATCTCTTTAATCACGCTTGTAAAGAAGAAATCTAAGAGCACGATGTTTTCCAGGTTACGGTTTATCTATAGCCATATTCACATTTCTTTAGTCATAAATAAAGTAATCTTATAAGAAAGAAAGTTATCACAGCAAACTATTACACTATAAAAACACACTGAGAGAAGTTTACCAGGAGTCGAAACTCTTACAGTTTGTAGACAAATATATTTCAATTAATTATGAAGGCTTGATTTTAGCTAAGGTCATTTTAATGGTCAGACAGACTGTTAAAACAACAACAAAAGCTATTATCGCAAATAAGCATGTTTGGGCAATAGGGTATATAAACTTACCACATCAGATGGTAAAAGAATAAATTCACTTGGTGGATTGGTGATGGCGAAACGTTTAGAAGATGCCTCACAGGAGGAGCTGGTGTCACGAAATCGATAAAGGCCAATACAAAGCATGCCATAATTTTTTAACGCAGCTATAAAAAGGTCTCCGTACTTTCCTCCCTCCTAAACAAAAAGCAAAACATAAAAGTATTACCTTCCAAAAATATTGAATTCGAAACTAAGTAATTATAACGAATAGTTATTATAATGGCTAAACAAAATATATTTGGTTTACAGCAGAATAATAATAATAATAATACCGCATTTCATTACAAGAACCATCAAGAAAAATACCCCCCCCCCCAAATGGCATTATAATTTTATATTTTCTCCCTTTACAAGTCCCATAAAATATCGCATTGTTTAGTAAAATAGAAATATACAGTGAATAATCGTTTTAATTGTGTTTTTAAAATTTTGCTGATAGGTGTCTTTGTATTTTGTTGTTGTTTGGAGACATTTAAAACTCTTGTCAACTTAAAGAGGAGATTACGAAGAATTCCATAACGAAATTGTTAAGTTATCTAGAAAAGGCATGGCCAGATTAAAAACTTGGGGAGACCAGGGGCAAATTTTGTAGGGGGCTCTCAGAAGTTAGTTTGTTTGTAATTAAGCATAAAGATACACAATGGGCTATCTTTGCCCTGCTCACCACGGGTATCGAAACCCGGATTCTAGCGTTGTAAGTCCGCAGACATGCCGCTGTGCCACTGGGGGGGCGCTCTCAGAAGTGAACTTCATAAATAAGTAATTAACTACAGTTCGAGCAACGCACAAACGTAAGTAATGGGAAGATATACGCAAAATAATAATTCTAATATTAATAATAAATATAAAACAACGACAAGTTTTTATCATAAATACAAAGTTATGACAAGTTAGCGAATGCTTTATTAAACAGCCGAACAAATATTTATGAAAAAGCAAGCTTTAAGAACATATTAATGTTTGTTTGTAATTAAGCACAAAGCTACACAATGGGCTATCTGTGCTCTGCCCACCACGGGTATCGAAACCCGGTTTCTAGCGTTGTAAGTCCGCAGACATACCGCTGTGCCACTGGGGGGCAACATATTAATGAAAAATTACAAAATAAATGGTTCAAATGAAACGACTAAAATCGTTTTTGTCGTAGAGACACAGTTGCAAACCTATGTTTCTCAATCAGACATCCAGTTTTTGATTTTTCTCTTAGTCGAGGGGCCACTCCGATCAAGAGGGCCTGGGGAAATTGCACCTTTCTGCATCTCCCTTATACGGCCCTGAGAATAAGACTTGTAAATGAAGAATGCAAACAAAATTAGTGAAACGATATGAACTTGCTGAAGAAGGTTTTCGTCGGAAGTTCAGAGGAACCCGACACTAGAGAAACTGTATTTCAGATTGTGGAACGTCTGCGGCGATATTTCACCAGATGGACTGACATGGCCATGTGTGAAAATAATTTTGAGGGACTGGCAGACTTATTAGTATGTGAACAGTTCATGATCACATGTCCAACTAACGTATAACTGTTTTTAAAGGGGAGAGCACCAAAAGACGTAGGCAATATGATAAAACTGGCAGAACAGTATATGGAAGCCCATATAGGTAGTATAACTGGCAAGTCCAAGAATGTACAGTTAAATTTGTAACCAGTAATGGCAGACCAGAAGCATGAGTTTACCAAAGGTGACAGGAGGTTAATAGACAAAAGGGAGAATAGATGCTATATTTGTTATATAATGGGACACATTGCAATGGAGTGCAAGTCCATTACCAGCAAACAACAGCAGAAACTTCAACATAAAGCAGCTGGAGTTATTTACAAAGACGATGACGAGGGACCCACTTTGAGACTAATAATTCTTGGAGACGGCTTGAATGGGTAATAAAGAAAAACTTTAATATAAGTATAACATAACAGCAACTGAACAACGTTTCGACAAAACGCTGATGATGACAAAACATTGTCGAAACGTTGTACATTTGCTGTTATGTTAAACTTATATTAAAGTTTTTCTTCATTACCCATTCAAGCCGTCTCCAAGCATTATTTACAAAGACAGTGCTGGTAAGAAACAAGAAAAGAATGACTGCATTATAGATGCTGCTGCCAGAAGAAAGAGAATCAAAACTACTTGTCAAATTCAATACAAGAAAGCATGACTAACGGTCGGTTCTAGTTAGCAAATGGATCAACAGTGCCAATAGTGATGGGAGCATGTGATAAATACCAAGAGGTGGCAACAAATCATAATATACCAATACGTGAAGGCTATGTTGGGGACAAGAAAGTGAAGGTTATAAGAGACACTGGGTGCAGTAGTGCAGCAGTGAGAACCAGTCTAGTATCTGATGATCAGATGACAGGCAAGGTACGCCTGTGTGTGCTAACTGATGGGACGGTAAGAAAGTTTTCCATAGCAAAAATAAAGGTGGATGCTCCATATTATGTAGGAGACCTTGGGGCAATGTATATCAAGGAACCAATACACGACTTGGTGATGGGAAACATACCAGGTAGTAGAAATTTGGAGGAGCTAGACAGAAAGAAGATTGATGAAGCATCTGCTGTCACCACCAGAGCTCAAGGAAAAAAGAGCAAACAAGACATCAAGCCCCTGCAAGTGTCAAAAGGCGACATCCCGAATTTAGGTTTGCAGGAACTGAAGAAAGCACAAAAGAAAGACCCTTCAATACAGAAAGTCTGGGACACTGCTTCATATCTAGTGGCGAGAGAAGTTATAGATAGGGAGATAAACTGCAGTAAGTTGTATGAGAAACACCTAGCAACTGCGAAGTTATCATTTGTAGTTAGTCTGGCAAAAATATCTGTCTATTGGCGTCTACATTTGTGAACATGATTATCACAAGTGGTACCATGATTGCAAGGAGAGTTCCCAAAACAATTTATGGTGATTGTGGTACTTTATTACAGAGGTACGTTGCTGCATTGGAATGTTAAATCTAAATATAACACCTGTTCCACTTTTATCAGGCAGATTTGTTGATACTAATTTCCACGTTTCCACGAGGACATCCGAGTACTATATAAAGAGGACTTGAATGAGATTTCAATTCATCTTTTCATTTTTCACTCCACGAGAAAGAAGCTCATGTAAGAAAGAATGTAAAGACTTACTTCTGATTGGTTGAAGTCAAGTATTCGAGTAGAGTACCTTCCATTTCACTCATAGGAAATGCATAAAAAGAAGTTATGGAGAACGTGAAAAGTAAATATACAAGTTTTTTGGTTGCACATTGGCTAATGAAGTTAGTGACTTAGAATGAACAAATAATTACGTCACAGAACAGACATAGGAAATTTGGCGCCAATCTATAAATTGACCTAAATATCTACCCACTACTAAACAAGAAAAAACTCTGAAAGTAAACAAAGGCTATAGTAATATATGGGAATGATAGAATCAAGCATTAGTCAAAGGAAATTGCACATTTCCTTAATAAATAAAAATGGTTGTTTCAATTACTTCTGCATAAACTACCAGCAAGTACGTTGCATCACAATTAAAGATAATTTCCTTTACCAAGGATTGATTTTACTCTTAGTGGTTTGTTTGTTCTTAACGTTTCTTTCCACCTTGAATCTGAAGAGTCGATATTCAGAGATATAAGTGAAGACAAAAAAAAACAAGAAAAAGAGAAGACATTATTTATAGTAGGACTCTGGAAACTTTCTTTTCTACCATTTTGGCTGTGCAATGAACTAGTGTTATTTTTTTTAGTATATCAAATGCTTGTACAAGTAAGATTGTAGTTTAAATATCAACTTCGTTTCTCAATACAAATGTTTTTGCCCGAATGTTCAATTAGAGTTTTGAGCAGTTTCCTGCGCGATTCCTACTATGAACCACGATAGTGGATCATAATATAAACTAAATGTATGAAAGTAATTTTGGAGACAAAATCATCCATTACATGATATTCGAACTCGAACCTTAATTTACAGGTATAAGGAATACCACGGATTCTTACCCCAAAATGAGCTAAAGGACCATCATACAACGATATTTGCCCAACCCTACAACGATCCCTATTCGCCAAGATGTCTGCTGTGGTGTAACCTCCTCTTAAACCAGCGCCCTCTGCCAAAATTAGCTCTAATTCGGGAGTTGCTCCACCAGTAATTAAAGAACGTATTAACGTCAGGGCATTTGCATTGAAGTACGTCTGAAAACAAAAAAGAAAGACTTTAGTCAAATTATACACATCGTGAGAACAAAGGAATTTCGTAAGTTAATCAGAATAGGTTATGATAATCCGTTAAATCTACAAGTTTTTCTTTTACGGATATCCCATTTTGGAAGTGATAATTATGATACCTTTAATATGTATAACTTGTACTTTTTATATATATAACAAGAAAAATGTTTGTTAAATATACAATATATAATGTAAGATTATATAATTGTAACGATTAAGAAGGAGATAAATTTGGTTAGTTAGTAATAACAGAGGAACGTCATTCAGAAAACTAATTTACTGTCCTACTTACTGTACTCATCAGTGAATCCAAGACGCTAACAGCAAAAGCCGTACCACAGACAAATAGTTGTGAAAATAGGAATAAAAAAAGGTAAATAATTTACTGTAATCATCAGTAAATCCAAGACACTAACAGCAAAAGCCGTACCACAGGCAAATGGTTGTGTTAATAGGAATAAAAAAAAGGTAAATAATTTATTGTACTCATCAGTGAATCCAAGGCGCTAATAGCAAAAGCTGTACCACAGGCAAATGGTTGTGTTAATAGGAATAAAAAAGGTAAACAATTTACTGTACTCATCAGTGAATCCAAGACGCTAACAGCAAAAGCTGTACCACAGGCAAATGGTTGTATTAATAGGAATAAAAAAGGTAAATAATTTACTGTACTCATCAGTGAATCCAAGACGCTAACTGCAAAAGCTGTACCACAGACAAATGGTTGTGTTAATAGGTATAAAAAATGTAAATAATTTACTGTCCTACTTACTGTACTCATCAGTGAATCTAATACACTAACAGCAAAAGCCGTACCATAGACAAATGGTTGTGTTAATAGGATAAAAAATGTAAATAATTTACTGTCCTACTTACTGTACTCATCAGTGAATCTAATACACTAACAGCAAAAGCCGTACCATAGACAAATGGTTGTGTTAATAGGAGCAAATAAGGTAAATAATTTACTGTCCTACTTACTGTACTCATCAGTGAATCCAAGGCGCTAATAGCAAAAGCTGTACCACAGGCAAATGGTTGTGTTAATAGGAATAAAAAAGGTAAATAATTTACTGTACTCATCAGTGAATCCAAGACGCTAACAGCAAAAGCTGTACCACAGGTAAATGATTGTGTTAATAGGAATAAAAAAAAAGTAAATAATTTACTGTACTCATCAGTGAATCCAAGACGCTAACAGCAAAAGCCGTACCATAGACAAATGGTTGAGTTAATGGGAACAAAAAGGTAAATAATTTACTGTCCTACTTACTGTACTCATCAGTGAATCCAAGACGCTAACAGCAAAAGCCGTACCATAGACAAATGGTTGAGTTAATGGGAACAAAAAAGGTAAATAATTTACTGTCCTACTTACTGTACTCATCAGTGAATCCAAGACGCTAACAGTAAAAGCCGTACCACAGGCAAATGGTTGTGTAAATAAGAGCAAAAAAGGTAAATAATTTACTGTACTCATCAGTGAATCCAAGACAATAACAGCAAAAGCCGTACCACAGGCAAATGGTTGTGTTAATAGGAATAAAAAAAGGTAAATAATTTACTGTACTCATCAGTGAATCCAAGACGCTAAAGCAAAAGCCGTACCACAGGCAAATGGTTGTATTAATAGGAATAAAAAAGGTAAATAATTTACTGTACTCATCAGTGAATCCAAGACGCTAACTGCAAAAGCTGTACCACAGACAAATGGTTGTGAAAATAGGAGCAAAAAAGGTAAATAATTTACTGTCCTACTTACTGTACTCATCAGTGAATCCAAGACGCTAACAGCAAAAGCCGTACCACAGGCAAATGGTTGTGTTAAATAGAGTTCCGTATCAGGGTCATCATCATCGTCTTGGTCCAGAAACTGAACATTAGAGTCATTCACTGCGAGAGAGAGAAGAAAATAACATTGTAACAAGCACAGAGAAATGTTAGTGCAATCGTTATCTGGTTCAATCATACTCAAGTTAGTCAGTCACTTATTAAAAGAACGTATAAGATAAAAGTTTGAAGATGATATAGATATATGACAGACGTGACATTTCACGATGTAAACCACATGCATAAAAGTTGTCTGAAAAAAAAGGGGTAAATACAATAGAGACCTAGTTAAACCAAGTGCTTGGAAGCTATTGTTAACTTCGAACCATCAGGCTGTTTTTGATGCGAACCCATGCTGGAGAATTTTACCTGGTGTATACACCAAGTTAAGACATAGTGAGCACTCTGTGGAATAAGTCTAAGTTTATTTCCTTCGATATGCGGCAATATTTCCTCCTATCTAGGTTTAGCAAACTTTTTTAAATATTGAAACATGAATTTATCAGCTTCTACCTTCTGCGTGATGCAAATGTTATCGCCCTCCTAGTTTCATCGTCAGGAGTAGTTTTATAGAGAGCGTATCTCCTGCAACAATTTTCAGCTTCTCTAAATATATAGTTATGAACTCGAGGGCAATAGACAACTGATATTTTTTCCTACCTAGTTCTGTGATGAGTGGAACATTGGATCCATAAACTGATCCTTTTCTCTGGAGAGTAATGGGGCTACCAAACGGAGAGTTTCCTTCTTGACTTCCTAGGTCTAAGGACATATAAACATGTATAACAATAACAGGGAAAAATTACTTGAAATAATTATAAAAAAAAGCAAAAAACAGAAAACCTCGAACATATTCCTTAAAACTTCGAACTGAGAAATAACGTCTAAAATATATTAAAATTATGTTCTACGTCCAGAGAAAAATAAAAACTTTTTTTAAATTTGTTCATATGAAGCTTTTTTTTTTCTCATACTGAAACTTTAGGAAATTTTTAAACTAGCAAAATTAACACTTAACTGAAATGGCGAATAACAAATTCTGTAGATTGATTATAAAGAAAACCCTACATTGAAACTGAACATAGTTCAAAACTAATTGTCCTAGGAAAACTAAATTTTATCAGGGTGTTTAAAAAAAATCATCTCAGAATGTGTTTATTATGCTTTCTTTCATTCTCAATCAAGATATTAAGTCCATCTCTAAATGAAGCTATTTGTTCTTGGACAATTTTCATTTATCCTCGAAATATCCTGCACACGGAAACGCATTTTATTCAAATCCCCATTCTCGTATCGTTTGGGAGCTCGACCTGCACTCTGCGGGTCGCGGGTTCGAATCCCCGTCTCACCAAACATGCTCGCATTTTCAGCCGTGGGAGCGTTATAATGTTACGGTCAATCCAACTATTCGTTGTTAAAAGAGTAGCCCAAGAGTTGGCGGTGGGTGGTGATGACAAGCTGTCTTCCCTCTAGTCTGACACTGCTAAATTAGGGACGGCTAGCGCAGATAGCCCTCGTGTAGCTTGGCGCGAAATTCAAAAACAAACAAACAAACGTATTGTTGAAAAAAAAAAAGAGAAATAAAAGTTATAGTCAATTTGCGAGAATAGCACTTTAGGTATTTACATAGTATATGGTTTTGAAATACCTTGTACCATGTCCAGGCTTTTCCGAGTAAAACTTGTGATTCTTACTGTAAAAATACTTTCCACTTGTATAAGTTTAAAAATTTCACGGATGTAAATTCAAAACTATATTACAAGTTTTAAAGGTAAAGATATATATGAAAGTAACTTAACCCCCAAAACACTATTTTATAACTTTGTGATACGCATGTATATAGAGTGAAATACCCAAATGCTGAAGTATATTTAAGGTATATGAATGTGTAGATAGATATAATTTAGTTTTACGCCTGACTACTTTGAACATTATAAAACTGTTGACCGTAAGGAGGCAACAAGTCAACAGTATCCTTCGCCTGAACGGTAACTATTAATTGAATAACGGGATTTTAGTCACATTTACAATGCTCCTGCAGGTCAAATGCGGAGCGTGTTCACCGTTATGTCGATACGCAAGACAGCACGCTAACCACTAAGCCACGACCGTACCATAGGACATTTGAATTACAACATTAGCAATTAAATATAAGCATAAATTCCCCGGCGATGTGAGATGAAAAAATATTTTATAGTTTTTCCCAAGTGCAAGTTACGAGAGTAAAATCTTGATATGCAGAAACTTTTATGTTAACATTCTTTAATAATATCCGAGCTAACTAGTTTTGAATGTTAGCATCATTCGCATAACAAATATATATTTTTCATTTTATGTCAAATAAATGTATCAAAAAACGTACTGTTTGTTAGCACTCCGATCGTATCATCAAAAGTCATTGCCTTGATATTGAGAGAAGCAAGGATCGCCTCCTTATCAGCTAAAGTAGGATCGTCGCTACTGGGTATCTTAGCCGATAAAATAACACACATGTCACACAGGTTAATGTTTACTGCTCGAAGGTCTGCTCGGCTAAGAGGCGACCCCTGTGAACAAACCAGAAAAAAAATCTAAAAATAATGTTTCAGATTTTTAACTCGCTACATAATTAAACTAAAGCAATGTTTTATGTGTTAAAAGTTTAAGTTTCATTAAGCGTTTCACGGCTTACGAAACATTGATTTTTTTTCATCTATGTTTGGTAAAGTGTGCGTAATAATCTGCAATTAACTTAACTTACATTGATTTATTTCAATTATGTTTGGTAAAGTGTGTGTAATAATCTTTCTCTAATCAACTAAACTTACATTGATTTTTTCAACTATGTTTGGTAAAGTGTGAGTAATAATTTCTAATCCACTAAACTTACAATGATATTTTTCAACTATGTTTGGTAAAGTGTGTGTAATAATCTCTATTCAACTAAACTTACAATGATATTTTTCAACTATGTTTGGTAAAGTGTGTGTAATAATCTCTATTCAACTAAACTTACATTGATATTTTTCAACTATGTTTGGTAAAGTGTGTGTAATAATCTCTATTCAACTAAACTTACATTGATATTTTTCAACTATGTTTGGTAAAGTGTGTGTAATAATCTCTATTCAACTAAACTTACATTGATATTTTTCAACTATGTTTG